CGGCCATGTTACTTCTGTGATTGGTTGCACACCCCGTGTCACCGCCAGGACATGATTTGTGGAGATTGGAGAACAAAGAGTGTGACTGAGGCGATCTGGAGACGAACTTTCATGTCTTTCAGGCCGAGCAAATCCACATCTGGTCACCGATCTGAGATCTCATCAAAGAGGCCGATTGAATGACACCATTCCTTCTGCAGAGGGTGGGGGTGTCAGAGAATTCTGGGGTGTCCGGGACTTCGCAGGAGCCACACATCGTCCATGGAGGAACCCCAACACGGGGCAAGTATGGGGGGCAGATACCGTGCTGATCGTCCCTACATAGGGGGAGGGGGGGTATGGGGGGCAGATACCGCGCTGATCATCCCTACATAGGGGGGGAGGGGGGTATGGGGGGCAGATACCGTGCTGATCGTCCCTACATAGGGGGAGGGGGGGGTATGGGGGGCAGATACCGCGCTGATCATCCCTACATAGGGGGAGGGGGGGTATGGGGGGCAGATACCGCGCTGATCATCCCTACATAGGGGGAGGGGGGGGTATGGGGGGGCAGATACCGCGCTGATCATCCCTACATAGGGGGAGGGGGGGGGTATGGGGGGCAGATACCCCGCGCTGATCGTCCCTACATAGGGGGGGGGGTTTGGGGGGCAGATACCGCGCTGATCATCCCTACATAGGGGGAGGGGGGGGGTATGGGGGGCAGATACCGCGCTGATCGTCCCTACATAGGGGGAGGGGGGTATGGGGTGCAGATACCGCGCTGATCATCCCTACATAGGGGGAGGGGGGTATGAGGGATGGATGGATACCGCGCTGATCATCCCTACATAGGGGGAGGGGGGTATGGGGGATGGATGGATACCGCGCTGATCATCCCTACATAGGGGGAGGGGGGCATGGGGGGCAGATACCGCGCTGATCATCCCTACTTAGAGGGAGGGGGTTTATGGGGGGCGGATGGATACCGCGCTGATCATCCCTACATAGGGGGAGGGGGGGTATGGGGGACGGATGGATACCGCGCTGATCATCCCTACATAGGGGGGGGGGGGTATGGGGGACGGATGGATACCGCGCTGATCATCCCTACATAGGGGGAGGGGGGGGGTATGGGGGGCAGATACCGCGCTGATCATCCCTACATAGGGGGAGGGGGGTATGGGGGGGGATGGATGGATACCGCGCTGATCATCCCTACATAGGGGGAGGGGGGGTATGGGGGACGGATGGATACCGCACTGATCATCCCTACATAGGGGGGAGGGGGGGTATGGGGGACGGATGGATACCGCGCTGATCATCTCTACATAGGGGGAGGGGGGGTATGGGGTGCAGATACCGCGCTGATCATCCCTACATAGGGGGAGGGGGGGGGTATGGGGGATGGATGGATACCGCGCTGATCATCCCTACATAGGGGGAGGGGGGGGTATGGGGGATGGATGGATACCGCGCTGATCATCCCTACATAGGGGGAGGGGGTTATGGGGGGCGGATGGATACCGCGCTGATCATCCCTACATAGGGAAAGGGGGGGTATGGGGGACGGATGGATACCGCGCTGATCATCCCTACATAGGGGGAGGGGGGGTATGGGGGACGGATGGATACCGCGCTGATCATCCCTACATAGGGGGAGGGGGGGTCCACTTACTGGTTGTATACTTTATTCTGCATTTCTTCATTGTCTTCCTGGTTTCTGGCCTAGGTGTCGGCATGTGAGGAAGGGGGAGGGGCTTTCTCAGTTAATTACACCCTAATGTCTAAGCTAAGGGCAGATGGATTCCAGGAAGTAAATTCTACATGAACCATCTGCCCTTACTCAGGATGGTCATGGCTAGAAATACTGGGGGGGGTTCCTGGTAAAATAAAGCATGGAGGGATGAATAGAGACATGGATGGATGGAGACATGGATGGATGGAGACATGGATGGATGAATGGAGACATGGATGGATGGATGAATAGAGACATGGATGGATGAATGGAGACATGGATGAATGGAGGACATGGATGGATGGATGAATAGAGACATGGATGGATGGATGGATGAATGGAGGACATCGATGGATGGAGGGAGACATGGATGGATGGATGGATGGATGGATGAATGGAGACATGGATGGATGGAGACATGGATGGATGGATGAATGGAGACATGGATGAATGGAGACATGGATGGATGGATGGAGACATGGATGGATGGATGAATGGAGGACATGGATGAATGGAGACATGGATGGATGGATGAAATGGATGGAGACATGGATGGATGGATGGAGACATGGATGGATGGAGACATGGATGGATGGAGACATGGATGGATGGAGACATGGATGAATGGAGACATGGATGGATGGATGGATGGATGGATGAATGGAGACATGGATGGGATGGATGAATGGAGACATGGATGGATGGATGAATGGAGACATGGATGGATGGATGGAGACATGGATAATTGAATGGAAGGAGACATGGATGGGTGGATGAATGGAGACATGGATGGATGGAGACATGGATAATTGAATGGAAGGAGACATGGATGGGTGGATGAATGGAGACATGGATGGATGGAGACATGGATGGATGGATGGATGGAGACATGGATGGATGGAGACATGGATGGATGGATGAATGGAGACATGGATGAATGGAGGACATGGATGGATGGATGAATGGAGACATACATGGATGAATGGATGGAGACATGGATGGATGGAGACATGGATGGATGGATGGATGGAGACATGAATGAATGGAGACATGGATGGATGGAGACATGGATGGATGGATGGATGGAGACATGAATGAATGGAGACATGGATGGATGGAGACATGGATGGATGGAGACATGGATGGATGGATGGATGGAGACATGAATAAATGGAGACATGGATGGATGGAGACATGGATGGATGGAGACATGGATGGATGGAGACATGGATGGATGGAGACATGGATGGATGGATGGAGACATGGATGGATGGAGACATGGATGGATGGAGAGACATGGATGGATGGATGGAGACATGGATGGATGGAGACATGGATGGATGGATGGAGACATGGATGGATGGATGGAGACATGGATGGATGGAGACATGGATGGATGGAGACATGGATGGATGGAGACATGGAGGGATGGATGGAGACATGGATGGATGGAGACATGGATGGATCGGAACTTTTCTGTGGTGTTCGGGATGAACACAATGATGTTCTCAGTGTATGGTGCAGAATATGAGCTCCAGCTTGGTATCGCCCTCTGGCAGTCACCTGTACAGCAGAGCTCAGACTGGTGGAGGGAGAAGCAGCACGAGGATGCAATCCTGTGCTGGTAGGAGCAGAGAGCAGAGTGACCGGGAGGTGAGATCGCGTATTACATTTCCATTGAGACGGCCTTTTTATTTTTCTTTCTGCCGGGATGACCCCCCCCCCCCAGGATATCTTACTAGAGTCCAGCAGAGGGCCCTCCCATGTTATCTGGGCCCCGATGGGGGATTTTCTGGCCCCGATGGAGGATTTTCTGGCCCCGGAAGCACATTGGCTGCACTTTGTCTTCCTGTTCTTACATTTTTATTGGTGGATTGTGGAATCGCAGGACGAACGTTCGGCTCGATCTTCTTAGTTTGTACTCCGTCCGATATCGCCAAATCCCACCACCATTGTTCATGTGATGAGTCCCGCCCCTCATTGCCCCCTCGGGGGAGGAGCTCATTAGTCAGCTGCATATGTCCGTGTAAAATAATGAACCTCACAGAGTACATCTGTGGAATTCACACACATTGCCCCGCGTGTTATCCGTGTAACATGCTACCGGGACAGAAGAATACCTGGTAGTATGACATGTACTGGAGAACATGGTGTCAGCCCTGCCTACTTCATTTCTGATGGATGGCAAAGAACACTGAGCTCTCATCTCCATAACCCCTCCTCCTCCTCCTCCTCCTCATCTCCATAACCCCTCCTCATCTCCATAACCCCTCCTCCTCTTCTCCATAACCCCTCCTCCTCCTCTTCTCCATCATAACCCCTCCTCCTCTTCTCCATAACCCCTCCTCCTCCTCTTCTCCCATAACCCCTCCTCCTCCTCTTCTCCATAACCCCTCCTCCTCCTCTTCTCCATAACCCCTCCTCCTCCTCTTCTCCATAACCCCTCCTCCTCCTCTTCTCCATAACCCCTCCTCCTCCTCGTCTCCATAACCCCTCCTCCTCCACGTCTCCCAAAACCCTTCCTCCTCCACGTCTCCAAAACCCTTCCTCCTCCACGTCTCCAAAACCCCTCCCTCCTCCACGTCTCCAAACCCCTCCTCCTCCTCGTCTCCATAACCCCTCCTCCTCCTCGTCTCCATAACCCCTCCTCCTCCTCTCGTCTCATAACCCCTCCTCCTCCTCGTCTCCATAACCCCTCCTCCTCCTCGTCTCCATAACCCCTCCTCCTCCTCGTCTCCATAACCCCCCTCCTCCTCCTCGTCTCCATAACCCCTCCTCCTCTGACCCCCCAATGTAAGGGACATTCTTCCCACTGACCCCCAATGTAAGGGACATTCTTCCCACTGACCCCCAATGTAAGGGACATTCTTCCCACTGACCCCCAATGTAAGGGACGTTCTTCCCACTGACCCCCAATGTAAGGGACGTTTCTTCCCACTGACCCCCAATGTAAGGGACATTCTTCCCCACTGACCCCCAATGTAAGGGACATTCTTCTCACTGACCCCCCCCAATGTAAGGGACATTCTTCCCACTGACCCCCAATGTAAGGGACATTCTTCCACTGACCCCCCAATGTAAGGGACATTCTTCCCACTGACCCCCAATGTAAGGGACATTCTTCCCTCTGACCCCCCCAATGTAAGGGACATTCTTCCCACTGATCACCAATGTAAGGGACATTCTTCCCACTGACCCCCAATGTAAGGGACATTCTTCCCACTGACCCCCCCCAATGTAAGGGACATTCTTCCCTCTGACCCCCCCAATGTAAGGGACATTCTTCCCACTGATCACCAATGTAAGGGACATTCTTCCCACTGACCCCCAATGTAAGGGACATTCTTCCCACTGACCCCCAATGTAAGGGACATTCTTCCCACTGACCCCCCAATGTAAGGGACATTCTTCCCACTGACCCCCCAATGTAAGGGACATTCTTCCCACTGACCCCCAATGTAAGGGACATTCTTCCCACTGACCTCCAATGTAAGGGACATTCTTCCCACTGACCCCCCCAATGTAAGGGACATTCTTCCCACTGATCACCAATGTAAGGGACATTCTTCCCACTGATCACCAATGTAAGGGACATTCTTCCCCTGACCCCTAATGTAAGGGACATATCTTCTCACAGACCCCCCCCCAATGTAAGGGACATTTCTTCCTTCCACTGACCCCCCAATAGTAAGGAACATTCTTCCCACTGACCCCCAATGTAAGGGACATTCTTCCCACTGATCCCCAATGTAAGGGACATTCTTCCCACTGACCCCCAATGTAAGGGACATTCTTCCCACTGACCCCCAATGTAAGGGACATTCTTCTCACTGATCACCAATGTAAGGGACAATCTTCCCACTGAACCCCCAATGTAAGGGACATTCTTCCCACTGACCCCCAATGTAAAGGGAACATTCTTCCCACTGACCCCCCAATGTAAGGGACATTCTTCCACTGACCCCCAATGTAAAGGGACATTCTTTCCCGCTGAATGTAAGGACATTCTTCCCACTGACCCCCAATGTAAGGGACATTTTTCCCCAAACTCCCCCCCAAATTGTAAGGGACATTCTTCCACTGCCCCAATTAAGGGACATTTCTTCCCACGCCCCAAAATGTAAGGGACATTTTCCCCCCCCCT